CCCTCTCCTTCCCTTCCCTTCCCTTCCCTTCCCTTCCCTTCCCTTCCCTTCCCTTCCCTTCTTACATTCTAAATCCTTTCCAACATCCACACACCAACCTGAACCAGCTGCAAAATAATTGCATAAGTGAAGCAAATTGATATATTAAGGTGTAAGAGATATGGTGCTTCTGAGTATACAGTAAGCCCAATAATTTATTATCCATACTAGAACCAAAGTTAGAATTTCTCTCCCACACACATTCATCTTATTTTCTTTCCCTCCTAACACCACCCAGCATTATTTTTTAGGATCCATATTTAGTTGTTGTTACTGTTAGACATCTGAGAATCAGAATCTGTTGCTACTCTCCTGCAATCACCAAGAGTGCTATTAGCAGATCTTGATTTACTTTTGTCACATACAGGGTCATAAAGATAGTTTCTTTATGACACCTCTAGTGTACTTGTTCTTTTTAACTAAAGACTTGGGACACATAAAAAAGAGTGCAGATTATAACTTCTGTTGTTCACTTTCTAAACTAAAAGCTTCACCCACTCAGACATATACACACCCACATATACCAATCCAACTCAAAGTGTAGCTGGCCAGACTAAGCTTCAGCTCCAGAATAATCAAGGCAGGACATCCACCATGCACAATTTCTAATTCTATATGATGGCTCCAAAGTATTACAGATCCCATAGACTTTTATAACTTCCAACAAGATTTAACCAATGCAACAAGGCTTGGTTAATCTACCTTGGCACTTTTTCATGCCTCCTGGAACTGTGGAAACAAGAGTACCATTGCCTCATCCAGTTCGTCTGGGAAGCATTGGTCATTTGGGAATCTTGTTGTATCTTCTCTGAAATCTTCATTTTGATCATGTTGCCTAAGCTAACATTTTCTAGAATACTTTTTCTGCCTTCACAGCCTACTCTGAGTAGGTCTCATGTGCACCATCCTTCATACATATCAATTTGCACAAATATGTGGCATCAACTATATTGTGGCATTAAGTGCAAGTGAATATAGAGGGTATCAAGAGTAAAGAAGATGACCTTGAGAGAATAAGGAAAAATATCTTGATGGAGATATGCAGACTCCATTGCCAAGGCAACAGAAACTAAACCATTCTTTAAGGCCAGAATATCCAGATAACCTTTGGAAGTGGCTCAGATAGATACCTGCCTCTATAAGGTAACTATAAGAAGGAAGAGGAGGTACAGCAAAATCGGGCTTGCAAGATTCTGCTATTATCACCAATTTCAATAAAAAATCATTTTAGCCTTCCTGTGGAGTTATTTCCTGCTCTGGTCTACCTAGTGAGACTGACAACAACCTTGCAAATCTGATTGTGCTATCCCTCCCCTCCTTCTTACACCCCAGTGAATTAGGGAGGCATCTGCCTGAACTTCTTCCAAATGTTATCTCATTGTTCTGGAGTTAAAAAATGTTTCAGCCTCTTTTACCTAGGTAACAGTTCCTGCATATCTCCATCAAGATCTTACTCTTCCTTACTCTCTACAGAGAGAGATAGAGTGCCAGTTTGGTGTACTAGTTAAGGATGTTGGGAGACTAGGAGTTCTAGGCCTCCTTAGGCACAGAAGCTAGCTGGGTGACTTTAGGCCTCTCTCTCAGCCCTGGATTGGGAAATTGAAAAACATTTATCAACCAATCTGCACAGGAACAGAATAGTAAATTACAGTCCATAATCTTAAAGAAAGAGGCTTTCATTCTGAAGTGGATTGACTGGGATGATGATGATGATAACTTAGAATAATAATAATAAGTTAGACTTTAGAATTCAAACAGACAAGCACCTGCCACACAACACCCCAGACTTAACAATTGTTGATAAGAAAGACAAAAAAGTCTGGATAGTGGACTTTGCAATACCTGGAGACAGCAGAATAGAACAGAAAGAACTGGAGAAAATTACAAAATATAAAGACCTGCAAATAGAATGACTTGGCAAAAGAAAGCAAACAGACTATCAATAGTTATAGGCGCCTTTGGTGCAATCTCAAAACATCTGGAGCACCACTTGAAGACCATCGGCATTGACAAAATCACTATCAGTTAATTGCAAAAGGCAGCTTTACTTGGAACAGCTTACATCCTGCAAGAGTACCTTTACCGGAGGAGGATAAAAATGCCAAATCCAGTCTAAACATCTGGCTGACTGTGCAACCAACAATAATACACACATACATGTTTTGAGTCAATCTTGCCTCCTGGTGACTTCATGGACTGGTCCATACAGTTTTTTTGGCAACATTACAGAAGCGGTTTGCCATTTGCCATTGTCTTCTGGGATTTTTAAAAAAAACCATCCCAGTCTAGGGCTGAGAGAAAGTGACTGACCCAAAGCCACTTAGGAAGCCTCTGTGTCTAAGGAAGGGCTGGAACCTGGTCTCCTAGCTCCCAGTCCAACTCTTAAACCATTATACCACACTGTCTCTCTAGAGACAATATACTCGCATTAATATACTAATATATGACTATGTATGTTTAACATCTTTTGTTCAACCTTGGTTTATAATACTTGTTGAAGAGTACCCAATACATCCAAGAAGTATATGAAGAAATTATATATAATATTTATGACTCCATAGGAATTTGAATTATAAGGCCAACTTTTAATGTTGAAGGTATGGTAGAATGCTTAAGCACCTAAAATAAACAAGTGAATAAAAACTCAGTGCAGGTGTTTATATTATTTTTTTCTTTTATTGTAATGTTATAAATCTTGATACACTGTATTATTTCAGTGTAATTATATTTATGTACTATAATTATAAATTATGAACATTCTATTATTTAGAAAGCATACAGTATTGTAAATAA